ATACTCTTCAACCGGTACTCTTATATCTTTGACAATAAAATATTATCTGCTCCTAAATCGAATGCACGATTTCCGAAGAAGTTGAGAGGGATGAGAGTGAAGAATGTTTCATCGATCACATTCAATGATCACAGTACAATTACAAACAACCGCAATGCTAATAATGAATGTACATATGCATTCACTTCACAATTCACGTAAGTCATCCTAAAACATATTCAACAATGGTGAACAAACAAGAGTTGTTAATTAAAATAACGAACAACTAGTTGATTTCATTGCAATATTGACACCTTATGCCATTACAATACATACGTTTACAGAACGTTTATCACCAGATTCAAATGCATACAAAATTTGCTAAATCTGTAACGATTCGGTAAATATCACGATTCAAATGTTGAAATACGAAAAGCACAAATCAATGCTTCACAACCAAAAAAAGATCCTGAAAACGCGCATACTAACAAATAATCACAGAACACGGATCGATGCATTTGATAATTAATGAAATATGAATCATTGCATTTGTGGAGACAGTGACAGACGTGACCGGGAATAATGGTAATACTAGTAACGATAATAACAAAAACGATTTAACAGCGACAATATTCACTACAGCAAATGTCGTCCCTAACGACTGAAAGCTTTCACAAAAAATGTTCAGTTTGGTGAATTGCGATCCTTATGAAGTGTGTCAATTAGCAGCACGTGTGGTGCTGCGCAAAAAAACTGACACTTCATAAGGATCGTATTTGTGCACGAATTCACCAAACTGAACATCCTTTGTGAAAACTTTCAGTTATACGTTAAGGACGATTTGAATCGTTTTAACTTCGAGATGAGTTCCACTGAGAACTGAACGTGAACGTCATTGTATCTTTTTCGTTTTATTGTCGTCGTACAGTTTCGATCACACTTTTTGCAAGCATCACAACTAGAATCAATGATTCAATGAGGACACCTTAGTCGTTTGATTCAAAAGATTTTGATTTCTAGCAGGATCGAGCATGTTTTTGTTGATATTCACAAAGGAAGTCCATGGAATTCGAAAGTATCTATCGTCAGTTGGGGATATCACGTCGTAGAAAGAAATCGGATAAATTGCTGAACTGAATAATCTCATTGGATAAGTTAGACAGACGAACAGTTATAATAAAAACAGTTTAGAGAACGACATAAATTATCATTAGTGATGCATAGACATTTCGCTGATTTCAATATTAAGAGCACTCAACGCATATAAAACCAATGACGACAACAGTAATAATAATAATAACGTTAATTGCAATGATATTATAAAACTCTGTAATCTGTTCATAACACACAATACAACACAAAAAACCAAAGGCAACCTTTGCTTCCATAATTAGGATGGTAGTAATTTTCAATGTCATCTTTCCATGAAGCCACATTTCGACTGGAAATTCACTTCTAATCAACTGACTTTCTCTTCAAAGTCAACTTCCTTCCCATCCTAAAGTGATAACTAACTCTCTTTTTAATCCAACGAAACAAACCTTTCGCGCAATAGCCGAATCAAACACTACTATCTATCAGATCATAGTATCGCACGCCTTATTTGCTACAAATAAGTTGCTCTGGTGCCATGCAAAGAACAAAAAGAACCCGAATTAGCGATGCATTCGTACACAAAAGAGGTTTAAACGACGAGGTGAAGGAAGACCATTTTGTGATGGCATTCCAGTCTTCTTCCTATGACAATCGTGCCAATTTCAAATCCATCTCTATTAGTGATCCTTTACACTGCTAACGATCAGTCAAAGAATGGTTTTCTCTTTTTTGAGATGATTTTTATTTTCTTTTCGCTATTGTCACCATACATCGCTCAAATCAGGCTTACTTTAAAGTAAATATGCTAACCGTGTGAGTCTAATGAGAAGATCACAATGGAAAGATCGATCAAAAAGTTTCAAACGGAATCTGATTTTCAAATGCTATCAAAATTCAGCATGCGACAGAATTAGCTCGACTTTCCAATTCAAAAAAATGACTGCTTTGACGAGGTGGCAACTGAAAAAATGGCACGATTCAGGAAAAAGACAGAAACAACAATAAGTTCATGAAAACGAATACAACAGAGAAAGATCAATTAAGGAACTCGAAGTGAACTGATGCGACAATTTGATATACAAAATTCCGCCGTTATAATAGACCGAATTCTTTCGCTTTTTCTTCATTATAATCCTGGAATATCCACTGTTGATATGTATTATTTACATCACACGTACGAACCATGAGTTTTGATCCATCATGACTCATTTCCAAACACTTATCCGATACGACATGCACCAATTGATGTAACTGCAAATTCAAATTTTTATTCATTATTTCACTGCTCCTTCACGATTGATCGCTTAAAACATTAGGCGACATAAGACAATCGAACCCTTTGTTGCACACTTCTGCATCACAAGATTCGCATAACGAAAAAGAATCCATCAAAGAGAACGCAGCTAACCTTATGATTATACCTCCACTCCTGATTCCCTTTCATACCATGACACGGATAAATCATCACATCCGTACCCGTATAATCAACACACGACTCATCTCTACGTATTTCACCGTCTTTACTCAGCATCCAATACTGAAACAACAATAAATAACATCAATAAATCACAGTCTATTAACCTGCCCACTCATAATCTATTATTCACCAACAACTCCAAAAATCCCACAAAACTGTCGCTTTACAAAGTGTAAAACTCTGTGAAGGAATGATGTGCTAGTTGAACCAAAACAGTTGATTGATTCATTTATTTCAGAACGACTCTTTCTTCCTTAGTTTCAGTGAGACTTAGTGAGAACGATACGTTAATTTCTGATACAATAAAAAAATCAAAATCTTCAATCTTTCCATCCCAGTTGAATTTCCGCCCATTTAACTTACTTGACTATCAATATTCAAATAATTCGAATCGAAATGCTCAAAACTTTTTTCTACGCATCCCGCTAAAATTTACAGATTCATTAGAACGTCACCAACACTGTTTTTAACGAAACGAATACATAAATCTATCCGATAAGACAAAAGAGAGCAACATCACTTACCTCGGCTCAGCACTCACTGAAACCTAATTCAAACTGATTATAACTATGAATAATCTAACAACCAAGTTCTCTATTTCATACTTTTATTACATAATTTTGCTAAATGTATTTAAGCCAACAACTTTATGCTATATGTTTCTAATGTGTTTCAATTAGCTAGCAACTGATTATTGCAGTTGTTTTTATTTCGTGTTAATTGAATGTCGATCTGCTTTGTGATCTTATCGTTAATATTTTAGGCTGGCATGAATTAGGATTTTTATGAGAGATAGTTGCATGAAGAGAAGTAAGACATAGACAATAAAACTGAAGAAAGTGGATTTGAACATAAGATGGATGAGACGGAAAGATGAAGATGATGATGGCTTATCGCCAGATTATAGAAATCTGAAGTTAAATTCTTTTGAGGCATTTACTGAATCACTACTCAGTGCTGCTTAGAACATGCTTAGAATATCAATTTATAAATAGTACAATATCAATCAAAAACAAAATATTCAAGATTACATAAGGATACACCGAGTTCAAATTTTAA